TGGTTGTAGGTGATCTTGTCTTGCCCTCAGTTCGGCTAGCAGACTGTTGCTGCTTGTTCTCGCAGAGAACTCGTGCGCCAGTCTGTTTGCTTCTGATTGAGGATCATGATGAGTTCACCACAGGGATAAGCAGCTGGTAGCTCGCTTGACCCATTGCCATAGCTCTGCAAGGGCGGTTTGGTGGCCGAAGGACTCACACCATTCCAGCCACTTTCCTGCCTGACTCTTTTGGCAGTTTCCTTGGCATCCCTGACAGCTTCCCTTCGGAGAACTAGGTTGTCAGGGGTTCTTCGCCTTCGGAATTGTTTTCGATTGTTTACTCTGTGGTTGACCTCCTTAATCTCGTCATTAAAGTGACTCCTGAACTCAGGCCGAGTTTTAGGTATGGTCAGTGAGGCTGCTTGATTTACGGCATTGATAAGTCTGTTTCAAGCATTTCCACATTTTCATTTTGTGGAAGTTCATTGTATCTCAGACAGTGGGCCAAGGCGTTCTGAAATGCCTGCCAGTTGGCCTTGTCTGTTTTCTGTCTTGGATTTGGTTGTGGCATTTGGGCTGGGCCAGCATCCATGAGGGTAGTTATAGTGCCATGATGGTCATTTGTGGCAATCTCATCACCACACCAGCTAATTCTCTCCACCAGTGCTGCAGTGGCCTAGGTGAGGTCTAGGACCCCTCCTCTGACATGCGTTGGCTCTTGGGTGTTGAGAAGAGCGATCTCAGGGAATGTCTCAGGCACATTGGCTATGTGATAGCCACCCACATTTGGAGTCCAGCAGGGAGCCAGGCTAGGGTGGTGTGCATTGAAGTCTCCTATGATCACTCGGTCATGTGCTGCAGTAGCATAGACCTGGCTGATGTCTAAGCTCCTACTGCTTGGCCGGCAGTACACATTGTACTGTTTGAGGGGCCCCCCGGTTAGGTGAATCTCAACAGCAAGAGATTCAACATCGTCTCCACAGTGCGGTGCATCGGCTATTGTGGGATTGTTGCTCTGACCAGGGTGATCAAGCCTCTTTTGCCAGCTGTGTGTGGCAGCATGAAGACACGATACCCTGAGAAGCGAACACTGTTAACACTGTTAGTGTCTCCTGGAGCATGACAATGTCAGTGCTCCTTGATCACACTATTGCGTGGAGGATGGCACTCCTTGAGTAGAAACCATTGATGTTCCACTGTAGCATGCTTAAGTTGTCTGTCATGATGTTACTTGGTGTTAGTTACATCAGAGACATCATCATATTCAGATTGACAGGTGTCGGAGTCTGACAACTCCACTGTGTCCTCGCTGACCTTACTGGCAGCATCCCACTTGTCGCCTGCTTGCCTGTCGGTTGACTCAGTGTGGAGGCACCTATGCCGAGCAAGGCTGCGCCGGTGCTGAGTAAGGTGATTGTGGCGTCCGTATGTGCGCATACACGTCTGCATAAACATATGTATGGCTATATTTATATGGGTATGTATAGTCATAAGTACATGTACAAGATAAGCACGCATGTATGTTTTCGCATATATATGGATGCACATATGATGTGCGCATATGTCTATATATGCATTGTGTAGTTGTGTATAATGTAGGAATATATATGTATATCATATGCTTAGGAGCATGTGTAAAGGTGTATTCTTGCATGCGCATCTGCACGAAAATGAACATATGCGTAGAACTTAAGGCATTTGCGGGTGAACAACTTTGTCTGCACTAGGTGTACATACACATAAATGAAATCAATGTATCAAATATAATCACACATATATGCACTTCTGATACTCAAGCCCATGCTCATGGGAGTATACCCTGGTGTAGTGAGCAGACCCATGCATTGCTGCTCATAAGTCCACATTAGACAGGGCCAACCCTGCTGGAGGGTGACATCCTGGCTAAACTAAAATTGGTATAACTTAAAGATAATTCAAGTCTATGCTCCAACCTGCAGCCACAGTGATGAAGAAATAGAGACCTCCTATGTTGATGTTCATTTAGCCAGTGAGAAAGTAAAAATCCATTTCACAATAATTATGGGAAATTTTAATGCCAAAATAGGTAAAAAGGCAGAAGGAGAAACCGTAGTGGGGAATCAAGGAATAGGCATTAGGAATGAGAGGGGACAAATACTAGTCGATTTTGTGGAGACTCAATCACTCAATGTCATGCATACATTCTTCAAAAAAAGTTGACATGGAAGCCGCTATCTGACATAAAAAGCGAAACTGATTCATAATTCTGAATAGGCGCGATATAGTAAAAAACTAAAGTTATTAATAAAGTAAATGTTGGCAGCGACCATAGAATGGTCAGAGGCCAAATTAAATTACACCTCAGAAGGGAAAGAAACAAACTCATACGAAAACCGCAGCCAAATTTAGCTAACTTGAGGACCAGAACAACAGAATGTTAAACTTAACATCCAAAACAGATATTCACTTCTTAACGACAAAGATCTCAACATTGAGCAAATCAACAAACAGTTCAAAGACATAATAAAGGAAGCTGCACTTGAAGTAGGAGATAAGAATGTCAAGCAAAGCTCCAGACAGCTCTCGATAGAAACTAAACAGCTTATGCAAAAACGTAGGGTCATGAAAGTATCGTCAAACAGGGACAAAATAAAATAAAAGAATAAATGTAAATAAAAAGAAGATAAAATGTACAGAAATTCAATTCTCAAATAAATGAAACAGTGATCTCAGGTACCAGCATGAAAACAGCTAGATGGAGACTCGGAATAGGGAGAAATCAAATGCATACAATAAAGAAACCAGACGGAGAAGAGGCATATAATAAGAATAATATCATAAGAGTAGTGAAAACTTTTACACGGATCTATACAACTCAAATGAACAACCACGGATAAAAGCGAACGCTGTAAATAAAGACGTACCTAACATCACAAAGAAGAAATAAAAAGAGCGCTTATAGTAATGAGGAGAGGGAAAATACCAGGTGAAAATGGAATTAATATAGACTTTATAACAGATGCAGGAGAAATTACAACAGTGAAATTAGCCTTTTTTTAACAAATGTCTTCTCAACGGAAAAAAAAACTCTGAAAGCATGGAAAATGCAATAGTTTTGATACATAAAAAGGGGCTAGAAAGGATTTAAAAAAAAACTTTGATCCATAAGGCTCCTTTCAGTTACTTACAAACAGTTCACAAAGGTCATCACAACTCACCCAAATAAGAAAAAAATAAACAAATATAGGAAACCCCTGTGTATGGCATTCATCGACTACGAAAAGGCATTTGATTCTGTACAAATACCAGCAGTACTAGAAGCTATTCGAAAACAGGTAGAAGAGGTATGTTGTAAAATATTGGAAGATATATATACGAAGCTCCAACATAGAAACCAATAAAATAGTAATTAAAGTGTTAGACAGGATGATACCATCTCACCGAAACTGTTTACAGCTTGCCTTGAGGAAATATTCAAGAAGCTAGAATGGAAAGGAAAGGGTATCAAAATAGGAGACGAATACCTAAACAATCTAAGATTTGCAGATAATATTGTTCTCTTCAGTGAATCTGCAAACGAAATGCAGCAATTAATAAACGATCTGAATACTGAAAGTCTGAAAGTCGGACTTAGGATGAACAAGAAAAAGACTGATAGTTCAATTCAAACAGATACATGTTTAAGGCGAAGCGCTAGAGGTAGTTGACGAGTATATATACCTAGAGCAACTGGTACAGACAAGCACATCTAGCGAATAGGAAATTAAGCGACACATCAGTCTAGGCTGGAGCGCCTTCTGCAAACACAGAAGCATACTAAGAGGCTCCTTACCATTATGTTTAAAAAGAAAAATCTTTAACCAATGAGTCTTCCCAGTTATGACCTATGGATCCAAAACATGGACTACAACCAAATTGTTGAAGAGGAACCTAATAAGTACCCAGAGAGGGACGGAGAGGTTGATGCTGGGAATTAGCCCAAGAGATCGGATGAGGGCGACTTGGATCAGGGACAAAAGAGGAAGATATACTTGGGATCATCAAAAAGAAAAAAAGGCAATGGGCAGGTCATATATGTCGGAGACAGGACGACAGATGGACAAAGAAAGTAACAGACTGGGCTATAGATAACATAGAGAGGCCAAGGGCCAGACCATTGACAAGGTGATGTAAGGAAATAACGAAATCCGGAGCCAAGACTGGAAACAAAAAACGCAAGACAAAGTTGGAAAAAATTGGGAGAGGTCAACGTCCTGCACTGCATTGATGATTATGTATATATATGTGTTTGTGTGTGTATGCATACATACATATATATGTGTATGTGTGTGTATGTATGTATATATATATATATGTGTGTGTGTGTGTGTGTGTGTATGTATTTATATATATATATATATATATATATATATATATATATATATATATATATATATATATATATATATATATATATATATATATACATATATGCATGTATATATATACATATATATGTGTTTGTCTGTTTGCGTGTGTGTGTGAGAGAGAGAGAATACACACACACACACACACACGCACACACACATACTCACATACACACACAAATACATTATGTATTAAGAACAATGGGTAAGGGAGAGAGAGGGATGTGAGCGGGAGAGGTAGAGGGAAAGAGAAAGGGAGAACGAGAGAGGAAGGGGAGAGGCATAGTTTGAGGAATGGGAGAGGGAGAGGAGAGGTAAAATACAGGAGAGGGGGTTAACGAGGAAAAAGAAGGGGAAGAGGATAAGATAGGGAGAGGGGAGTGAAAGAGGTATAGGAGAAGGAAAGGAAATGAGGGAGAAGGAAGAGGAAAAGAAGATGAGAGAGAAGGGGTAATGGGAGAGAGAGAGAGGGGGAGGGGAGGAAAAACATCGACGAAGAGAGCGAGAGAGGAGAAAATGATGGAGATCAAAACGAAGGGGAGATAGAGACTAAGGGAAGAGGCAGAGGAGGGGGAGAGAAAGAGGAGGGGGGGAAAGAGATTAGGGGGGAGAGGGAGAGGGGCGTACATAAAAGTCCCGCGAGCGAGCAGTCACAGCATAGCGTCACCTGTGCAAGATGCTGGCCCGTGCTCTGCTCTTGCTCTCCGCCGTGGCAGTAAGTTGGACTTCCACTGATTTGCTTTTAGATTACCTTACGTACAGACATTTATATATTTTGTAAGTCTTGCTTTCGGAAATGCATGAATTATATGTTCATCGCTGAGTTAATTAACCATGTATGGTGTTTATCATGTCCATTGGTTATTATGTAAGTATATTATTATGATGATTAGCTATTCTTCTTACACCTTCCATAGCTGGGAAATACCGTAGTGCTTTCAAATTATAAAGATTCCCTTCCACTTAAATTTCTGTAGCGATAAGCAGCAGTTACCACAACCGCTAGGGAGAAATTTCCAAAACTCCCGGCAGTGCCTCTAGCAATATTCGTCCAAAAATAGTACCGAGAAGTAGAAGGGAAGTAGTAGATAGCACAGCTAGAGCTTACTAATGGTATTCACGGCATTACTCACGGCTGCGTGGTGCAGCGGTAGCGATCTCGTCTAGCAATCTTGCTGACCTGTTCAAATCCCACACCGCCAGTGGATGGTAACCCCGGTCATTCCTTGCACACAGGGGTCATTCAGAAGCAAAATGAAACAGACAGCATGTCACACCAAGAATATGTATTGGAACAAATAGAAAAAAAATATTAAGTTTAGTTAAATGACTCATTGCGACTTCTCCAGCTAAAGGCTCAACTTCAAGCCGTTTTCCCGGTGGCTTTTCGGTATATAGATCTATAGGAGCAGGATACCTTGAAAGTCTAGGCTTACTTCCTATTTCTGCTCTTGTCCAGTCTTGCTTTCCACATCACATTTCTCCTTCCGTTTTTCTCCCTTTACGTATGTTCCCATTTCTACCTACTTATTTCCAACAGGATGGTAATGATAGGAATAGTTATTATAATAATGATGATAATAAGAATGATAATAATAAGAATGATGATGATGATGATGATAATAATAGCAATAATAAGAAGAAGAATGATAATAATAAGAATGATGATGATGATGATGATGATGATATTAGTAATAATAATAATAGTAATAATAATAATAATGATAATGATAATAGTAATAATAATAATGATAACAATAATAATAATGATAATAGTAATAGTCATGATGACAATAATTGCAATAATAATCGATAGCAATAATTAATAATAATTGTTGTTGTTATTATTATTATTATTATTATTATTATTATCATTATTATCATTATGATGATAATAATACCGACAATGATAATAACAATGTCAATGATTATGATAATAATGATAATGATAAATTTAAAAGTCAAGAAAGGATACTATGAACGAGTCAGGCTGATCTTACGCAAAATCGCTCCACCGCCATAACGGTCTTGCAGAGCCAGTTGCCATGTACAGATATAACATTCTGAATTGGAAACTGGAAGAAATCTGGTACGTGGATCGTAAGACCCGTAAACTTCTTACAAACAGACTGCTTCACCCTAAAGCCCATATAGATAGGGTTTATCTACCTAGATAAGATGGAGGAAGGGGTCTTATCCAGTGAGAAATGTCACTTAAGACAACTACTGTTCCCTTTATGAATATATCACAAAATCCAACGATTACCACGTTACCAATGTGGTAAACAATATGAAAGGAGTAAGAGATGATACTCTATTCACAAGGAATCTCTTAAATTTGTAAAGTCAGAATTTGATCTAAATAGAAGTGAAGAGCAAAACCATGTAATGTCATCAGCAAAAGCAGCTAAAAAAATAATAAGTGTTAAAACAGCAGTGTTAAAACAAATGAAAGCAAATTGGCAAGAGAAACCACAGGATGGAAAATTTTCTTCCCGTGTAGCCAAAGCTACTAAACCAAATTCATCGTCTGCCAAAGAAAGATTATCAAACTCAAAGACCTCAACTAACTCCAGCTGCCGTTTTTGTAATGCCCCCAAGGAAACCATTGGCCATCAGGTTGTCCTATCTTAGCACCATAAGAGTACAAAAATAGACATGATAGCGTTAGGAAGTATATTCACAGGCAATAAACAAGCAGTATGGTATTGATGTCCATGAAAAAAAAATATACAAACGCAAACCAGAGGCAGTCAGTAGCAAGGGAAACACTACTATTCTTTGGGATTTCACTATCCATACAGACAGAACCATTCATTCTTAAAGACAGGGAATCTAATGAGTGTTCTATAAGTGACGTGGCGATCCCAGCTGACACAAACACAGACTGCATTTGGATGTAATAAGCAAAGGTACTGAAGGCTATGTAAAATATGAGCCTCAAAGAAATACAGAAAATTGCTTTAATCAACACTGTCAATATTCTCAGAGGAATTCCATCAATGTAACCCTACAATAACTTCCAATCTTTAAATACTGTAACTACGGCTTTTAACTCTGTAATACATTTATTTTATCCTCCCCATCCTTGAGTAGAACAAATCTTTACAAAATTGTCCTAAGCTGAAATAATGAAATCATGACTTGCCATCTCTTGCCTTATGTCTATGGGTTAGACATGGTTAGTTGTCAGCATTTATTCAGATGAAAAAAATAATAATCATCATTATCACTATAACAGTGATGATAATGATAATAATGATAATAATAACAATGATGATAATGATGATGATAGTGATAATATTGATAATATGATAATAGTAATAATGATAAGATGAACAAAAACGTATGATAATGATGATGATAATTACGATAACAACAATAATAATTACAACAGTAATAATAACAATAATAACATCAATAATTTTTCCTCCTTCGCATGCGACCGTCCACCTCCTCCCAACAGTGCGGCAACAGTGCGCACATCGGGAGGGCGGACGCAGCCTGGGAGAGCCTGGGGTGTGATGTGGGCGTCGAAGTGGCACCCCCTGAGGCGCCCGGCAGCCTCCCGGTCCTGACCTTGTGCCAGACTCAGTGCCAGTCTCAGCTCGACCAGGTGAGAGGCCTCGGAGAGCGAGGTTTGCGTGGCGTGGTGCCGCTTGTCGGTCGATGTCAAGGGATGGGTGAGTGAGTGGGAGAGATGGCATGGATGGGTGGATGAGTGGGTGGGATTCAGATATATTGGTTGATATAGATAAATATAATCATTTTACACACTCACAAGCACGCACGCACACGCACACACACACACATATACATACATACATACATACATATATATATATATATATATATATATATATATATATATATATAATATATATATATATAATATATATATATATAATATATATATATATATTATATATATATATATTATATATATATATATATATATTATATATATATATATTATATATATATATATAATATATATATATATATAATATATATATATATAATATATATATATATATAATATATATATATATAGATATATATATATATATAATATATATATATATATATAATATATATATATATATATATTATATATATATATATTATATATATATATATATAGATATATATATATATAGATATATATATATATATATATAGATATATATATATATATATAGATATATATATATATAATATATATATATATAGATATATATATATATAATATATATATATATATATAATATATATATATATAATATATATATATATATATATAATATATATATATATATAATATATATATATATATATATATATATATATATATATATATATATATATATATATATATATATATATTTATATATATATGTACATATATTTACAAATTTATACACCTTTCGGATTCATTGCGTGAACATATACCATAAGCATGATCAGCCCCCGTAGAGGACACATTAACCCAACACGGACGCTCCTCTCCCCCCCTCACGACCCCGCACCTTCTCTCCCTGAAGACATGGTTCGTAGGGTCAGTGTACAGACACGAGGCGTGGCTGGCGAGAGAATACGGCCTCATGGTGGAAATCACGTACGACAAGGACAACACGATGTCCTGCCAGTTGATGCCTATTCAGCCCAGTGAGTTGTTCTTGTTTTTTTTTTGTTTTTGTTTTTTCATTAGGAGATTTGTCTTTCATATTATCAGAGGAAGAAGAGGTTATGCTGGTTGCAATATTACTGGATCTCCTTTCTGTATGTTGTCAATGTTTTTTTATGTGATTGTTGTGAGTTATATTAATGGTTAATGTAAACAATAATAATGATAATGTTCATAATTATGGCATAAGCGAAGGAGTTCACCATGTGGTATTCATTGCCGTTTTCACCATACATCTTTTCAGAGTCTGACCTCCTCAGTAAATTCACTGACTGCACAACCGAGAACATTGCCACTGAGAATCCCTCAAGCACCGAGCGTCCTTCAGGAACTGAAAGCTCTTCAGGAACGGAAACTTCTGGAACTGAAAGTCCTTCAGGAACGGAAACTTCTGGAACTGAAAGCCCTTCAGGAACGGAAACTTCTGGAACTGAAAGCCCTTCAGGAACGGAAACTTCTGGAACTGAAAGCCCTTCAGGAACGGAAACTTCTGGAACTGAAAATCCTTCAGGAACGGAAACTTCTGGAACTGAAAGCCCTTCAGGAACGGAAACTTCTGGAACTGAAAGCCCTTCAGGAACGGAAACTTCTGGAACTGAAAATCCTTCAGGAACGGAAACCTCTGGAACTGAAAGTCCTTCAGGAACGGAAACTTCTGGAACTGAAAGCCCTTCAGGAACGGAAACTTCTGGAACTGAAATCCCTTCAGGAACGGAAACTTCTGGAACTGAAAATCCTTCAGGAACGGAAACTTCTGGAACTGAAAATCCTTCAGGAACGGAAACTTCTGGAACTGAAAGCCCTTCAGGAACGGAAACTTCTGGAACTGAAAGCCCTTCAGGAACGGAAACTTCTGGAACTGAAAGTCCGTCAGGAACAGAAACTACAGAAACATCTTCATTCACTGAAGGCTCCCCAGACACAGCCGGCCCCGGAGATGAGAGTTCTCCCGACGGCGGACAGCCAACGGCCGGACCCGAGGCTTCGACCACCCTCCACGGAGGCTCATCCACCGATGCTTCTTCCTCAACGAAGGTCAACTGCGTCCAGGAAACCGCTGCGCCGCCTATGTTGGTTTGCCCTGAGGGATGGAACCTCTACGGCCGGTCCTGCTACCACGTCAGCACTGAGAAGGGCTCGTGGGACATGGGTCAGCAGTACTGCGGGAGTATCAACAGCACCTACGCGAAGATCTCTGACCATGACGAGAATACCTTCGTTGTCAGTGAGTTATTCTCAGGAAATTGTTCGCGTCGGCAGGTCTTTTAACTTTACAGAAGTGTAGATTACCTCTGATATAATCTGATTTGTGTATAATTTCTTTTCGTATAACCATTTCAGGAATATCCCTAAGACGGGCAATGAACCGAAATCCTTCTCGTCAACAGGTCTTCTGACAGATACTACGTGGATAGGACTCGAGGATCAGGACAAGGAAGGAATCTACTTCTGGGACGGTGACTCCATTCCGAAGTCCTCTGATTCATATGCCGAGTAAGTTCTATTGATGCCTCATACTCACAGTCACCGGCTCCTGAGGCAAGACACTTGGCGGCTTCACCTCACTAATTAATCGTCTCCTTGGCCACTTACATGGAACACAGAATTCAACCACAATCCTTAATACTTTTTGCTTGTGCAGTCATATAAAAATAATCATAATCACGACCTACCTTCGTTGCAGTTGGGGCGAAGGTGAGCCCAATAACTACAGGAACGAAGATTGCGTGGAGATCAATGCTTTCATTGGATACTTTTGGAACGACAAGAAATGCTCAACAGAGAGAATGTAAGTATCACTTACGACTGACTTGAGGGTAAGGTGTGAGCAAGTCTAGATGATTTGGTATGAAAACGATGCAGTAGATTAGAAATATTAATTCTCTTTGTCTGTCTGTTTAATGTTATTGATGTCCGTGTTTCTTATGTTATTACTATGTTATAATATTTTTTTATTATCATTATTTTACCAATATTAGTGTCATAATCTAGATTATTTTCTTAGAATATATATATATATATATATATATAGATAGATAGATAGATAGATAGATAGATAGATAGATAGATAGATAGATATATTATTGCAATTATTATCTCTATTATCATTATTATTATTATTATTATTATTATCATTGTTGTTGTTGTTGTTGCTATTATTATGATTATCATTCTTTTATCATTATCATTATTATTATCAGTATTATTATAATAATTATTATTATCATTATTATTAACATTTTTACTATACATATTATTATCATTATTAATATTATTACTATTATAATATTGTAGTAGCAGCAGTAGTAATAGTAGTATCAGTGGCAGTATCTGCATCATTATAATTTCATAATTTACATCTCTATAGGTTTGCTTGCGAGAGAGAGGCTGATGTCGTCTACGCTTAAGCCGCTTCATGACGAAGGCGATGGTGTCTGGCGAGGGACTACGATAGTATGGTTTATGGTGGCCGCAAGCACTACCATTAGAAGATTTTGATTGGCGACAGTGAAAAGGAAATGTGGTGAAGATCTTGGCCAGCAAAGGAAATACAGCAAATTATGTCTAGTTAATAGTGATAGTTGTGCCACCATAATCTATATAAGAGTAGATATAAAGCATTATTCTAAAGATCGGCTGTCTTCCTTTTTTTCCTCTGTAAACAAAGAACCTGACACTCATTTAAACTATAGTAGACGGATCAGTAATATCAATCTGAATGAAATATTTCATTGTGTCCGATGTGGAACTGATAATTGATTAAAAACTTCCAAATCATACCTACATACACCCCCCCCCTATATATATATATATATGTGTGTGTGTGTGTGTGTGTGTGTGTGTGTGTGTGTGTGTGTATACACACACACCAGTTGATATATATGAACACAAACACAGACACAATAACGTGTATACAAAGCTGAAAAGGGAAACAGTCACAATAAACAATTTCATTTCTTATTGTGGCAGTTACCAAGAATAATTTCCCGTCTCTCTCTTTTTATAGATCCCTAGTTCTCCCTCTATTGACTGAATACGTTTTGCAAACAGTTTATCAATACGCCTAATACTAATACGTAACATATGTCATAGATCATTCCCCGAAGGCGGTGCAAAAAAGGCCGTCACAGGTAACCGGGAAAAAAACATACAAGATTTGCAGGGAAGGCTATCGCACCAGGTCCGTGCTTGGAAACACTCGTAAATTAAAGTTTGTAGAAAAGGTAGCTTTGTAGAACGGATTGTGGATGAGGACTTTTTTTTTAAGAAAAGAGGTGACTGTTGGGAAGATCTTATAGGTGAGTGATGTCAACTGAATCAATCTGCGTAAAAAATAATCAGAAAAAATATAGTGACATTCAAGGCCTTTGCTGGTCATGTTCGCCGTTATTAATAATGCGCTCCCAGATGAAACTAGGGGCGTCTTCTGTACGTGCCAAGTTAATCCAGTATTGAAGTTTAAGCCAGATCTCTAATGCACATGCCCATTGCCAGAGTCCAGGATTAAATTCAATTCACCTCCGGACCAGGCTTTACTTTTGAGCCCAAAGATTAATCCTACACATGCGCAGAACGAGTTAGTTAATCACACCTATCATGTATCGATACATCATGCCAATGTCATCAATTCCATAGAAAAGATGGAGTTGAATTGCCAAGTTGTGGGATATTCAAACTGCAGATATAAGTCAACATCGAAAAGAAAAACAAAAAGAAAATCCCACTGAGAATTCCAGAGTTTACAGACACAAAAAAAGCACTGTTATTTCCAGATTGGAGAAAAAAATCAACTTATGTAATATATCAATCAGATGAAAGAGAAAGCTATTAATAACATCACAATTAGGTTTCAAATTCAAAGTACAGACTTCCTGATTCTTTAAACTAAAGTGACATCAAGACTGCACAGACAATTATTTTCATGATCCTCGTTAGCAACACCCTGAGAAAAACTACCCTACCCATGCCCAAAGATCACACACGAGAAAGCTCTCAGAGGAAACTCCCACGAATATAATTTGACAAAAGTATCTCATTTTTGTTTGGCATCTTCATTTCGGTTGTCTATAATATTTATAGACTATTTGAAGTTATGTATATAATTTTATTTGTACTGACAAAGATATGTATCGGCATGAAATAATACTAGCGTATATTTTTTCCTGTGTAACAAACGTTTCCTTATCGACATTAACACACAATATGAAACTTGTAGAGGGTGAATGCCAATTGCCATTATACAGATACCCGCTTTTTCATGTAGAACAGCAGATGTACTGATAATCGCACTGACTCGTGTGCCTGGCAGTGTGTCTTGCATCTTCTGTGCAAGTACTGTTGATTTGGATTAACTTTAATCCGGAATTTACTTTTATGAAGCGTACAGAAGACGCCTTGAGATTGCAGTGAGGATTCACAACACAAAGTAAAACATTCACTGAGGTAAGCCCAAATTGATATCCACTGATAATGATCAAGATAATGTCAAGCTGAGACCTGGCAGCATTTGAACCCTAGCTAGCATGTGCACTTGATATACCGCTCTTCAAGTGCTCTAGATACATGGCATGAAGTCACCGAGTACCATATTCTAAAGATATTCATATATAAGATATTTGGTACCGATATTGCAGAGAAATATGAAACTAGTATCCATCCGTCTTTAGTGAAATGTGTGATGATGAAAAGAACTAGATGTAAATGTAATGTGTGGTCTTTAAGAAAATGTACCTGTGTATGATCAAGAACCACTGAGTTATCCACAATATATGAGAATAATATTCATGTCATGTGTTTTTTTCACCCAAAGTCGAGTTTAAGATACAGTTGGGACTGATAACTTACTGTCGATATTACATATACTAATATAATAGAATATATAATCATTTAATTCAACAATACCTTATGGCAATAAGTATAACTGCAATATATTATAATTCATACAAGAATATAAGCGACAATTTGATTAATAATCATCGATTTTTTATGGAACACCATCTACATCTATAAAAGCTTAACTGCGCTTTTTGTAGACATTCTCTTATATAGATTTATCTGCGAGGGACTGCTGATTAACTATATATTAACTATATTTGTGTATATGTTTATATACATATATATATATATGTGTGTGTGTGTGTGTGTGTTATTAAAACGCATGAACTTTAAATGAAATATGAAGGAAATGAATTTATGAAATGTATTACAAGTCCACAAGGGGGAACTATTATACTCATGTATTAGATTTTTCGACCAGTACAGAAATACTGAGTGAAAAGAGGGAGGGAGGGAGAGAAGGAGAAAGAGAGAGAGAGAGAGAGAGAGAGACCGGACGCACAAAATTGCATTTTAGACATTGTGTACATATCATTTACTGATGTTAAAGTTGTTACCAGCTGGGGCTGGTGCACTGTAGCTGGTATCAGGACTGGAACTAGTGTCTGTCTGCTAAAGTATTCCTGTTTTCCCTTGTAAGTTATGGAAACTCTGCCTCATATCGTTCTGTCTGACATATTTGCCCTGAATGAGGAGATATGAGAGACACAGTAGACGATAAGAGCAGTCACACACAGCAATAGCTATACGTCTTTAATGGCATTTGGAAGATTTAGGTCTTTTTAAGCAGGGAGAAAAAACTAATCCTTTAGCAGCCATAACTTTATTTATATTCATATTTTTTCCACCAACGTAATAACACCTCACACGATATTGTGGACACTCCCGTAACTCCTTCACTACATTATAAACATCACCTATTGCATGTGTTATAGTTGTGTTACATCTTTTCTCCTTAATAAGATATAAGGTTTCATTCACTACTTGAATTTCGGCTTCATTGACTGATTCTGTATGTTCGAAATCTCAAGCAACTGATTGTTTGGCTGCAGCTGGCAATATGGAACATCTTCGGGTTAGCTCCTACATCTGCCGTTGGACTGGTTCGCGACGTCGAGAGGTTATCCATAGAGAATGGTGGGGTTCATCTCGCAAGCGAACCTAAGAGGGAGAAATTGTTAGGCTTTAGGTTTGCTCTTTGTGTTGCGTTACAAATACATTATTTACTTACAGCATAGTTAAAATATGTCATGTGTTATATACGTATTAAAAATACCAGACCCTCAGTCCCTAATCTATCGGTTCCGTATTCACAAGGTCTGCTTTCCACGTATAAAATTTTATTCATACCCATCATGCAAACTAATATTCTTTCTCTTGGCTTCCCTCTTCCTATCTGACCAAAAACTTACTGTCTTGCATCCGAGCAAGTCTGGTCGTTCCACAGGAAGCCCATCCTACTGTTCATTTCCGCGCAGTCCTCGCCGTTTCCTGTGTCGTTGGGTTCATCAGAGTTCCATCTGTTGAGGAGGGAATTAAGCATACAAGCATTTGTTTTTTTACGCGGCAAGAGGGTATTCCTCTCTCTCTCTCTCTCTCTCTCTCTCTCTCTCTCTCTCTCTCTCTCTCTCTCTCTCTCTCTCTCTCTCTCTCTCTCTCTCTCTCTCCATATATATATATGTGTGTGTGTGTGTGTGTGTGTGTGTGTTTGTGTGTGTGTATGTGTGTGTGTATGTGTGTGTGTGTGTGTGTGTGTGTGTGTGTGTGTGTGTGTGTGTGTGTGTGTGTGTGTGTGTATGTATGTATATGTGTATGTGTGTGCGTGTGACTCACTTTGTGAACACCGGCGCTGAGCCGTCGGCATCCCAGAGGAAGCTTCCTTCGGTCTCGTGGTCATTGAGGCCGATCCACGTGCTTGCGGACAACAGGCCTGCGAACGAACAGTCAAGCTGATATTAGTCAAAATTCCTGGGCGCTATCTCTGCGAAGCCAAGATTTCAAAAAAATACATAAAAAAGTAAGTAAACCTTACTCTTGACAAATTCCCACTCCTCTTCGCTGGAAATCGTAACGTAGGACCCGCCATTGTCGCTGCAGTAGGCCCTCCCTTCCTCCCAGGAGCCCGTAGAGGAGCTGAGGTGGTAGCACGACCCCGCGTTCAGGAGCCATCCCTCGGGGCACACGTGGGCGGTGGTCGTCAGCGGTGCGGTGGTGGTGGTCGTCGGTACCCGAGTCGTGGTGGTCGTTTGAGGCACTGGGGTTGAGGGGCTCGTCTCCTTGTGCTCGCAGGCGATAATGTCTTCCGTTGTAGATCCAGTCTCGGTTGGAACAGAGGTTGAGGTGCTGGTTCCAGTTGGAATGAAGGTTCCTGTATTGGTTCCAGTTGGAATGTTGGTTTCAGTTGGAATGAAGGTTCCTGTATTGGTTCCAGTTGGAATGAAGGTTCCTGTATTGGTTCCAGTAGGAATGTTGGTTTCAGTTGGAATGAAGGTTCCTGTATTGGTTCCAGTTGGAATATTGGTTCCAGTTGGAATGAATGTTTCAGTTGGAATAAAAGTTCCAGTGTTGGTTCCAGTTGGAATATTGGTTCCAGTTGGAATGAAGGTTCCTGTATTGGTTCCAGTTGGAATGAAGGTTCCTGTATTGGTTCCAGTAGGAATGTTGGTTTCAGTTGGAATGAAGGTTCCTGTATTGGTTCCAGTTGGAATATTGCTTCCAGTTGGAACGCTGGTTCCAGGAATGATGGTTTCAGTTGGAGTAAAGGATCCTGTGTTAGTTCCAGTTGGAATAAAAGTTCCAGTGTTGGTTCCTGTTGGAATAAAGGTTCCTGTGTTGGTTCCAGTTGGGATATTGGTTCCAGTTGGAATGAAGGTTCCGGTATTGATTTCAGTTGGAATGAAGGTTCCAGTTGGAATGTTGCTTCCAGTTGGAACGCTGGTTCCAGGAATGATGGTTTCAGTTGGAGTAAAGGATCCTGTGTTAGTTCCAGTTGGAATAAAAGTTCCAGTGTTGGTTCCTGTTGGAATAAAGGTTCCTGTGTTGGTTCCAGTTGGGATATTGGTTCCAGTTGGAATGAAGGTTCCAGTTGGAATGTCGCTTCCAGTTGGAGCGCTGGTTCCGGTTGGAATAAAAGTTCCAGTGTTGGTTCCAGTTGGAATGAAGGTTCCGGTGTTGGTTCCAGTTGGGGCTGAACTCGCGGTTGTTGCAGCGAGGGTATTGTCACACGCTTGGAAGGCTTCAAGCAGACTGGAAGCTTTTGTCAGAGAAAGCACAAATGAGAAGCATAGTTATATAAAGTAGTTATTTATATAGTAATTACACGCAAGCGTTTCCATTTTCCTCCTATGCACATATATGGCACTTCAATAAAGACAAAGTAATAAATATCTTAGTGATAAATATTCTAATACTTGTCTTTTTAACTATGTAGTGTATCTAGAAACACTACTCGCATTTTGGGAATAAACCAGCAAGGAATTTGATAAATATGTCATTTTCTGTCTTCAGAGTTTAGGCGAAATACTCACTTGACTGAATAGGAACCAGCCGACAGTCAATCACAGCTGCCTTGTCGTACTTGACTTCGACCATGAGGCCAAGCTCTGCCAGGCCG